CCCCCCCAGCCCCCCCCGCCGATGAAAACGCCACAGTACCCTTACGCCTCCAAACACAAGCAATTATCGCCGCTCAGCGACGAGGACGATCCCGGGTCGGGTTCCGTGTCCGGCTACAACCCGGAAGACAGCACCGGAGCCGACGGGAAGAGGAAGTTCTCTCCCTGGCAGAGGATGAAATGGACGGACACGATTTTTTTTGGGGGGGGGATATTTTTGGGCGACGAAGCCGGGTCGTCGGAAACCGCCGACGCGGCGAAGAAGAAGCCCTCCTCCTCGGCCGCCTCCACCTCCTCCGGCGGAGGAGGGTTGCTGCAGAAGAAAGGAAAGTGGAAATCGGTGTCGAGGGCGATGATGGAGAAAGGGTTCTACGTATCGCCGCAACAATGCGAGGACAAGTTCAACGATCTGAACAAGAGGTACAAGAGAGTGAACGACATCCTGGGCAAGGGGACAGCTTGTCGGGTCGTGGAGAATCAGAGCTTGCTCGAATCCATGGATCTCCCTCCCAAATTGAAGGAGGAGGCCAAGAAGCTCCTCAATTCCAAACACCTCTTCTTCCGCGAGATGTGCGCTTACCACAACAGCTGCGGCCATCTCACCCACACAAACGCAAATGCCATCGCAGCCGCCGATCAACCCCAAACGCAGACGCAATCACACCCTCAACCGCAGCAGAGCTGTTTCCACTCTGCTGCAGCTGGGGATTCCAGCAAAATGACCCGAATCGCGGAGAACGGCGAGGAGGAGGAGGAAGAGTCGGATACAGCAGAAGATTCAGACACAGAGGATGATTCGGACGAGGAGGGGGAGGAGGAGGAAGTGGTGGCGGGAAAGAGGCAGAGGAAGATGTCGGAGACAGGAGCAGTGAGGGGGCTAATGGAGGAAGTGGGGAGAGTAGCAATGGACATGGCGAAGGGAGCGAGGGAGAAGAAGGAGTGGATGAAGAAGAAGATGGTGGAGCTCGAGGAGAGGAGGGTAGGGTTCGAATGGGAAGCACTGGAAATGGAGAAGCAGAGTCTGAAATGGATGAGGTTTAAGAGTAAGAAAGAGAGGGAAATGGAGAAGGCAAGGCTCGATAATCAGAGGCGAAGGCTCGAGAACGAGAGGATGCTGCTCCTTCTCCGTCGCAAGGAGATGGAGTTTGACACGTCGGCTTCGGCTTCAGCTTCTGTCGTGTAAAAATGTCGGATCTTGATCTGGTTTATGTTCCAAGTGTTGTAGTTGTAGATGTAACATGCAATGACAATACGATCTCTTGCTTCTTCCTTCGCCTTCTATACGTTTATAACAATCTCTTCCGTATTTATACATTGAATATACGCAAGTTTGGATATATACACACACACACACGTGTATGTACGGAATTACGGGTTCAAGTCAAATGTGATTGAAAAGCATGCAAGTTAAGTTATCTATCGTCTTTGTTTTGTTTTGATGTCCACTCGGCTTACCGCCGTAACGCTTCTCACGTGCTTGGGTCCACTTCCCACGTGCCGTTCCTCTTTAACCTACCAATCCTTTTAACGGAGCCGTCATAATTCCGTGACGGCCACTCCCCATCGTCACTTCCGTCAAGATGTCCCTTCTTCCTTCCACCGACGCTAACTAACGCCGTCGCTTCCGCCGCCTAACCCTAACCCTAACGGCACCGTTAATGGCGTCCTGTGACGATGACTTCTCTCTCCTTGGCGACGACCAGACAAACCCTAGCCACCACCAACACCATGGTGCTCCCCGCCCCGCCATATGCGCCGTCGCGGCGGCTTGCCTCCTCCAAGCCTGCGAACCAGATCGATGCGCCACAGCAGCACCAGGGAAATGGAGACGACGACGTCGTCGTCGAGACTTCCTCTGCTTTTCACGGCGTGGATCCCTTCTCCGCCGACGAGAGCTCGAATCCGTACGACACCAGCGCGGCGGCCGACGGAGGCGACGGAGATCCCAATGCGAACAGATCCAGGATCGGCGGTGTTCGCGTGGAGAAGAGGCAGAATCTGGAGGAGCTCAGCGACGGAGGGACGGGGAATGGCGGTGAGACGACGCCGTACGGAAGCTTCAAGCGGCCGAGGACGTCTTCTTCCTCGGCTGGTGAGTACAGGAAGGACAGGGAGGAGTGGGGCGACGCGGCGATCGCGTGTTTGTTGGACGCTTACTCGGAGAAGTTCACGCAGCTCAACAGAGGGAATCTGAGGGGAAGGGATTGGGAGGATGTTGCTGCGGCGGTGAGCGAGAGGGGCGAGAAGCAGAGCAAGAGCGTGGAACAGTGTAAGAACAAGATCGATAATCTCAAGAAGAGGTATAAGCTGGAGAGGCACAGGATGAGCAGCGGAGGGATTTCAGCCAGTCATTGGCCTTGGTTCAAGAAGATGGAGGAGATTGTGGGCAATTCCTTGTCCTCCAAAGGTGCATCAGACGATGATCGAGCCGTCAGCTCATCAGGCAATGCCGCAAAGCTTTCTCGGAGGTAAATGCATACATGAAATATCACTAGCCCTTGTATTGTTCTTTGCTGTTCAGGTGCTCGATCCTTTTTACCATATCAATGTTTTGAACGTGATTACCTGTAGAAGCGGCTCTAGTTTCTGTGGAAGTGAAAATCGAGATTCAGATTCTTCTGTGCGTTAGTCTAATGTTTCGATTGCTGACTTCTGTCTGCGGCAATCGATATGAAAAGGCGAGAAATTTATGGTTGATTGAATCAAAATGCAACTGTGAGATTTGGTGAGATTAAGAAACTGTTCCACATGAGTTCTTGACGAATATTAGGAATCCATGTCATGGAGGATAGATTACTTGTTCTTGTCCACATCAATGTTTACATTTGTTTAAATCTAAAACAAGAGTTCCTTATGTCGTGGGTACATTGGTGTTCTTTTGTGCCAATACCAACTGAAATTTTTCTGTTTGTTAGCAAAACAATACTTCCAGAGTTCACTTTGTTCTTTCTTGTGAACTGAAAATGCTATTGTCTGTATGTTGTTGCAGGTATGCCATGATAACATATAGTCCTGGAGCTCAGATAAATAACGCCAAGTCCAAGTCGATGTCAAACCCCAGATGGCGGAGAGTGGTTCTAAAAATCAGTGGTGCTGCTCTTGCTTGCACTGGTCCAAATAACATTGACCCTAAGGTTTGTTTCCATAATTTAATGTCTAGTGTTGGTATTGAATTATCATGGCCAACGTTAAATTCTCTTTTTGAATGTTAGGTGGTCATGCTGATTGCCAGGGAAGTTGCAATAGCATGTCGTCTTGGTGTTGAGGTATTGGTCTGTTCCAGAATCGGTTTGTTTTTGTGCCTTTTTTCTGTTTGACAGCATTCATCGTTTATGTCTTGCAGGTGGCAGTAGTTGTTGGAAGTCGGAACTTGTTTTGCAGTGATACTTGGATATCTTCTAATGGTTTAGATAGAACCACCGCTTATCATATCAGGTTGTATTTCTTTTCCTAATTGTCAGCTTCATTTGATTTCTGCACTGTCTGTGCATCTAGTGGAGGTATGATGAACTGTATTAGATGCATTTAGGCCCTGGAGTGACAATTATCAGTTTTTGAATCCACCATCGTAGTGTGATACATGTCCAAGTAAATGCACCATGCTATACATATGTTTATGGTGTATTTCCATCACTAAAATTGTTCATCATATCGTCAACTTCAAAAAGTTTTTCCATTAGCAGCAGATGTTACTGGCTCTGTATATCTATCAACATCTTGAAACTGGGTTGTCCTGAAATCGCACCAACTGCTGTTCTGTAACAGTATGATGGCGTCTGTAATGAATTGTATATTGCTTCAATCATCACTGGAGAAGATGGGGGTACAAGCCCGATTACAAACTGGGCTATCGGTTCAGGGGGTTGGAGAGGTTTACAATCGTCAAAGAGCCATCCGGCATCTGGAGAAGGGGAGAGTGGTAATATTCGGCGGCATTGGTGCTACGCTTGGAAATCCTCTCTTGTCATCTGACGCAGCAGCATCCCTCCGCGCTATAGAAAGTATGCCTCGTATTCCTCAGTCGATAGTTGTCTTCCACGGCCTTGATTGTCTTTTCTTTCGGTTCTGATAATAATCTGTTCAAATTTATCAGGGTGCAATTTAATTTTTGGCTCTTGAAATCTCATCTATGATCCCCTGAGGATGACTATGGACTATCTGGTTTGATTGTGGTTTTTTGCTGGTGTTAATGCGAATCCTCCTTCATCCTTTTCTTTGTTGTTTCCGCTTCAGTAAATGCGGAGGCAATAGTGAAAGGAACAAACGTCGATGGAGTGTACGACTGTCATTCACAGGATAGCAATGTGACATTCGATCACATAAGTTTTCAAGAACTGGCGTCGAGAGGCGTTGCATCGGTGGATGCCATGGCCCTCAACTTCTGTGAAGAGAACGGCATTCCAGGTTCTTGCAAAATTCTCTCTTTTGCAATGCATCATGTTCCTTGGTTGTATAGCGCTCTCTACTCAAACGAAACCCTGATTCCATCTCTTCATTCGTTAATCATGGAATACCACATTATAAATATCTCCATATAAGGACAGAAAGTAACACCGGTTAAGCGAATCTTTGAACAGCTTCCATTGTGTTTTTAAAAAAAAAAACAATTATTTGACTCTTTTTTTTTTTTTGTATGGGTTAATAAAAAAAAAAAACACAACAACAGTGGTGGTGTTCAATTTTATCGAGCCGGGGAACATATCAAAGGCGTTATGCGGGGAGCAAGTGGGCACGCTGGTCGACAGAAGCGGAAGGGTATCTGCTGCTTAATCCGACGCACAGGGGATGGCAGCAGCAAGTGTAGTAAAATCACGTATGAGTAAAGTGTTGGTCTTTTTAACTTTTTTCAACAGTCCTGTATCCGTTGTGTTTGTATATACACATGATATTTATTTTACATATCTGTACGGGGTTTCCTTTTCCCCTCCGTTTGAAGTTAAAATTCCACTGAAGCTAATTTCCGTCCTCAAGCGCTCTCTCTGCAGCGGTTGCCAGCATTCACCCGCTCAGGGCAGTATTTTGCTGAGAAGATGGAGATGGAGCAGACTCCAGAGTTTTGTGGTTACGCAGCTTGACAGAGCTTCATAAACCTGTTTAGATGCCCTCTGGTGCCTTTCCAACGCATCAGGACTTCTTAGGAGCTCTCTCACGGTTTCTCCTAGCTCTACTTCCGTCCTTACCTGCCCCACATTACAAAAAGAGATAATACTAAAACCCCTCTCCTATAGTAATAACAAGCTCATATTGGAACACAGGCGATGGAAGTTATAAAGATCTTTATACTATTAATAGCAACCCGTGGAAATCCATAAGTTCACCGAACCTGCACAACCGACAACGGATTTGATTGCTGCATTGTCCGCACCATGTGTGAGAAATGGCCGACATGATGCCCTGCAAGTCCGCCAGAGAAAAAGTGTGTAAAAACGTAAGATGAAATCATAGTTTATGGGCCCGGAGATGAGCATGGCCTTCACACCTGTGATGATAGCACAGCCAGCCGCTGCTGCTTCTGATAAGTTATGACCGGCCAAGCCTGGCAAGAAAGAACCTCCGATAACAGCTATGGGAGCTAGTCTGTATAAGTGTCTCAATTCACCTGTACGAAATTACAGTGCATTTTAGAATAGCATATCACGGAGAGAAATGATTGGCCAGAAAGAAACCAACCGCACAAAGTAAGACAAGAAAGTACAAACCAACCAAGTGTATCTGCTACATATATGTTTGTCCTCGATGTAATTCTTTCCTTCTGGGTCCTCAAAGCTACACATTGGCCACGTTCCCGCAACTTCTGCTAAAACGTAGCAGACGACGAAATACCATAATAACACTATTGAGTCAAATCAAACATTTAATAAGCCAAAAAAAACAAAGAGAGAAGTAGGAAGTCTTAAAACATACTTGAACGACCTCTCGCCCATGATGTGGATGCCGGGGCACAATTATGACAATGGCCTTTGGATGCAATTGTGTAACCACGTCATGAGCTCCTAAAATCACTGCACACAATATCTTAGCATTCAGGAGATAGAAGAAGCGTACGAATGTTTCTAAGACCTAGTCTATTACCGAGAAACTAAAACATTTTCCCTGCCACATGAATGATATCATATCATCTTCCATTCGTAACCTCATCTCTCTTATACTTTCCATCCTAGCAATGTTAATCCTTCCCTTTAATCTCCTTTTGGTATTTGTTCATAAAATAACGTAATGAATGAGAAATTTCGAAAAACAGAATCACTTCATCTTGCACCATCGATTCCCATTTTGTTCGAATTAGTTCAATCACCCCAGCCAGTCAACCCCGAGCCAAAGTCAAAAGTAAAAGGAACTGCACCCGGTTTGACTTACCTCATAAAAGACAGAGTTTAAGAACTTTTTTAATGTATGACACGATATCATTCAAATGGTGAAGGATATCATAGATTCCTACGCAACCGTAAGTTTAAAATTTATGCAAGATATATGTAACAACAAATTGACATCTCTGACCTTCTTCTTCGCCTCTATGCAATGAAGATGCAATCCAGACCTTCCTGTCCAAGAGTTGTGCTTCTAGGTCTCTTATGCTTTCGGGGATTCCTTCAGAGACATGGAATTTGTTTACAACTGAAAGAAAAGCAGGAAAAATCAGTTTCATATGGATCATATCATTGCCTTCAAAGAAATAACATGAATTATGCAATCATACGGAATCAAACTAAAATCAGTGATAATGAAGCAACCGGACGCAGCGAATTGTGAGAAAACATTAAGCATCTAGAATGCCAAATCACAATTACAGCAGACTCATAACTAAGAATATTTTGAAGATGTAGTCAGTATCACAGTACCATATTTCAAGTCACCAGAGAAATTGATAATGGCCGGTGGCGCCTGCAGCAGCTGAAAATGTATAGCCTGTGTGGTACTCTGTGCCATTGGAAAAAATGTTGATGAAACCACATAAGAAAAGAAATATGAATTACTAGAACTAGCTTGCATACCAGTGGGGTTATCAAAGAAAATTTTGAAAGCAATAATGCAGCCAGCCGAAGAAAAAGGGGCCTTGACCACCGCTTGAAGGATTTAGTAGACATCCGTGCATTCAGCAAGGCCAATGGAATCTGAAAATGGGAACCATAAATGCACAAAATTTACAATGCAAAAAGTCAAAAGCAAAGAATCAATACATTTTCCTGTTAACATGTCTGAGTAGGAGAAACAAAAAGCGACTTGCGTTGCGTAGAAGAACTGGAGCACGAGCCTAAAACTACACAGGTAATATGTTAATAGATCTATGCTCTTTATAATGTGAGTCCAGAAAAAGTGCTCAGGACCAAACAGAGATGAATCTAAAAAGTTACACATGACGAGAGGATTCCTGCAATACAGGAGCTTGCAAGGCATGGCAAAATAGAAATCTAACAGGTTGTCAGTCGTAAAATGTGCCATTTCAAGTGGGTCCATCATCCGCACCGAAGGCAAACATCCAATAACATCAGTTTAATTAATGGGGTTAACTAACTCCATTCTTAGGAAAAAAAATCATCCGATTAATAACAAGAGGGAACAAGAGTTACCTGATACCCTGAAGCGCTCATGATAAGATTAGGCCACAGCTCACTCTCCATAATGATTATGGCGTTTGGCTTCCAACAACTAAGGAACCGGTCAATAGCCACCGGTGTGTCAAGCGGGGCAAACTGGCCAAAGTTTGAAACTTTAGCTCATATATAACGTGTACTGACGACGACTATCTACCAACTAATAGAAGATATGAACTTAGACAAGCCTGAAATATGACACCAAACGGAAGCTGATCTTTTATAACTTCACTGCACCAAAAAGCGTTTGAAAGAAACCAAATCATAAAGAGCAAATAGAAATTATCTCATTTCCGTAATCTAACAATGAATACGGTAGATTCAAGATAAACTGTGCGTAAAACCATACAATGCAGATACCGTCGTCGTCGTCATTAGAATCGTCAAGTCTGGCCTCAGTTCATGGCAGTGTCTGATCACGGGAATGGCAGCCATTCCTTCACCTGAAAAACAAAATCAACAACTACACTGAAATAACTTAATTCCTCGATCGGAGGACTCACCGGTAAGGAAACCGGCACAATCGAAGAGGAAAACTCAATCCCGGAACCGAGCGGCACCCGAAAATGGTGGCGATACCTAAAGACACGGCGTGAAACCAGACAAGCGGGCCGAACTGTCGACCGGCGGAGGGATGGCCGAACCGCTCCAACCACCGGCAGCGATGCTCGAGGCCTCGGAGCCTGCGCCACCGGACATGGAGGTGGACCAGCGGCGACAAACCGTAAGTCAACGCCCTGTATATCTTGTAAACCAGCATTCCGATCTCCATTACTCCGCCGCCTCCGATTTCGTGCCCTAACCCTATGAAGGCCCAAATAACTGAGGCTGAAAACAAACTTGGATCTATGTACCGACATGGGCCAAATTAACTTGGGTAGAAAGTTTTGGGCCCAGCCTAATGAGGCCCATATTCGGATCAATTTACCCAACCGAAAAGATAATGAAACCAAGCCCAATAAGGCCCAATAATCGCAACCACCTTGTAACGGATAATGACGAAATGTCAGGGAAGAAAACAAAAATAGAAAAATAAAAATAGAAACTAATAAAAAAAGGGGGAGAGGTGTCAGTGAGCCACGCAGTATGGTAGAATCTCCAAGCAAAGATATTTTTATTCACTCTCTTCTTATCCCCTTCCTCCGAGCCCTATATATGCACTCTCCTCCTCCTAAACGCCACAGACGTCAATCGCAGTCGCAAGACGCAGAGTGAGCCGATCGCGATCCCTCGCCAAACAGCCCCCCAAGCGTAATCAACGATGCAGACGGTGTCGGTGTACGAGAACAAGAACACGGTGGTGCTGAAGGCGGAGCACCGGGGCGAGGATGGCGCGAAACGGATCGAGAGATTCGAATTGAAGACTCGGAATCCAGAGACGATCAAGCACATGGAGCGTAAGCTGATGGATCAAGGTGTCCAGCGAATGGAGCGTCACCCGGTGGACGGAATCCCACTGAAGCGGCCGCCACCGAAGTCCGGCCACGGCGGCAAGTTCACGTGGGAGGGTCCCGGCGGCGTCGCCGACTACGAGCTTTATCCTGATCCGCCGGCGATGGACAAGGGAGATCCGAACTACTACGACGAGGAGGAGGAGGTGACGGCGAAGAGAGTCGGAGGTGATGACGTGGCAGCGGAGCGTGTGAGATGTGGGGTTGATCGTGTGTGATTGTGAAGGAAAGGGGCACGAGTTGAAGATAGGAGGAAAATGTGGGGTGGGATTTTAATTTATGGTTTTGTGCTTTGAATGTGTTTTCTATGAAATGAGGGGCATTGGTTGTAAATTTGAATAATCAATGTTTTAAATGTAATGCGACTCTTTTTTTTTTGTAAATAAATCCTTAAAAAAAGACAATTTGTTATTTCGCCCCCCTAGCCCCAGTCGTAACCAGTAGGACGAAAACAGTGGACTCATTTGTATAATTGCTTTCGTTGTAATTTTAAATTGTAAAATCAGAATTTTAATTATGATAATAATGGATAAATTGTGGAATTTAATGGGCCGGCCCATCAAACTCGGTTGGTGGGTCGGTTTATACCTTTTTCAGGCAAAAATTGTTTTATAGACCGGTCCGTGGCATACCGGGTCTAAAACGGGATATTTCGTATCGGTCATTCACCAACTCGCGGGTTGAAAAAATTAATGTTTTATTTTTTTTATTGTTTCATTTTGGGTGGGCGTTTCGGCAAACGGTTCGGGTTCGGGACGGGAATAGATCGGTTCGGTTTTTTCGATTTTGCAAAAATAGGTACCAATCGGTTTTTATATTATGTTCGGTTCGGTTCGGTTTTGGTATCGGTTCGGTTCCGGGTTTTATTAAAAAAAAGATATATTTCTTTTAAAAATATTCGGTTTTTTGGGAATTTTTTAAAGTTCGGTTCGGTTCGGTTCGGTTAGGTTCCGGAAAAATTCGGTTCACTAAAAATAATACCGTTCGGGAATTGAGAACGGTTTCAGATCGAGAAAAAATACCGTTTTTTCGGTTCGGTTCGGTCCGGTTCCGAAGAACCGAATCGAAACGTCCACCCCTAGTTTCATTAATGATATAACTTTAGAGTTGCGAATTTCTGATTAAAGGTGGGCGTTTCGGGATTCGGTTCGGAATTTTAACGGTTCGGTTTGGGAACGGTTTATTCGGTATTATAAAATTTGTACCAAATTAGTACTGTATGTTATTCGGTTCGGTTTAGTATTACGACGGTTCGGGATGGAACGGTACTAATAAATAAGTACCAAATAAGAACCGAAATAAAAACGGTTCATAACGGTTCGAGACGGTTCGGAAAGGTTCATAACATACTTATAATTTATATAGTATAAAAATAAAAAAATTCAACATAATAAGTTTAGACAACAAAATAAAAGTTTTGAATTTGATATAAGCGTAAAGAAATTTAATATAATAATTTTAAAATTTTCTATAAATATGTTCAAAACTTTAAATTACATTTTAAAAATATTATAGATGCAGAAATAAATCATTTTTTACCAACAAAGTAAAGTATCTGCAATACAAAAAAAATATATAAATAAAAAGAGATAAAAATAAAATATTTATAAAGTAAAATATAGACAACTTATTATTAAATATAATAAAATTTAATAAAAATAAATAATTTATTGAACTTTGGTAATGCTAAACAAAATAAATATCAATATTAATTATTATTAATAAATAAAATAAACATAAATCTAAATATATGATGTAAACAAATTATTAATATTTAGTAATTATTATAATTAATTATTAATATTAACTATTTTTAATTAAAAAATAAAAATATCGAAATACCGTTCGGTATCTTAAATCTTGTACCGTTCGGTATTTTTATATAATATCGAACCGAATCGTTTCCGAATTAATCGGTTCGGTACGAGTCGGGACTAGATTCTCGAACCGAATTGCCAACCCCTATTTCTGATCGTCGAATCGAATTTCTGATTGTTTTCGGAACTGCAAGTGTCATTAGTGGCAGTAGGAACAGTACATTAAATTACTATATTGATATAATCTCTCGGTCCTAATCGTATAATTATAACATCATCGTCGTCATCCTTTTTTGTTCCCTTAATTTTCAAATTCCATGTAATTTATCGTCTCTTTGACCAGGTTCTGGTTACGACAGAACTTATTTCTTTTGTCATGTGATGGTAAAATTAAAAATCAAAATAGAAAAATAACAATGAAATTAATATATATATATATATATATATAATTAATGTTTTGATAAATCACCTAAAAGAGAAGAGTGAAGAGAACCTGAAATATGTTTATATTTGGTTCAGGAGACATAGTCATGCTGAATTTGACAAATGCAAGAGTAGGTGAGTGATGAAACACTTGGTTGGTCTCCGAGGCTAAGGTGTTGTGTCTCCTTCTCCATTTGGAGCCAATACAATTTAACCAACCAATCATAGCTTTTACTTTCCCATATATATATATATATATATATATAGAAATATATATATATATATATAGAAAGAGAGAGAGAGAGAGATGTCGGTGTCCAATCACTTGTAGTATAATGTATTAGAAGAAGTAAAGGAAATGGTTAATCAGTCGCATTTTGGTGCAGAGAATGTTGTAAGATCGATCTTCGGTTACACGGTTCTAATAAGTAAATAAAATAAATCATATATTATATATATTTTGAATATTTTTTTTTGGTATGATATATATTTATTTTGAATATGTGGGGAATAAGTTTGATAGGATGTCAAATCTCTGCGAAAGCTTGGACAATATTGGATCCCACCTCCTACTTGTGTTTTCTTTATCCCAATATACATTCACTTGTGGAGCAGCAATTGAATCATCGTTGTAAAATTTCCATTACTTATTATACATTATATCGCCTCATTTAGTTGGTAGTCCAATGGTTGATAACTTCAAGATCCTGAGTTTTGATTACACTAGGGGGAGAACAAAACGCAATTAATTACGTGAAAGATTGACTTTGGATCTAGAGGATTAAGTGGGTCGAAAACCTAGTGGATTATAAAAAGAACGTCCTCATTGTATTGAATGAAATTCAACGGCTTTTTTTTCTTTCCTTTTTTAGTAATTAATGTATATGAATTTTTTGTATTCGGTTAATTATAGTGTAGTGTATATTGGATGAAATTCAACGTCTTTTTTTTTTCTTCCATTTTTTAGTAATTAATATATATGAATCTTTTGTATTATCGGTTAATTATACCGAAGTGTGTGTGTATATATATATATTTTGAAACAAAGAAAAAAAGGAAAAGTAAAAGAAGTTCCTGCTGCCATCGGTTATTTATTCACAAGTTTCATTACCTAAAACAAAGAATATTGAAAAAGAGCTTTTATTTTAAAAAGAAAAAGGAAACATAATAAAAAAATTAATAAAAAGAAAAGGCCTTCAATATTTGTTATTGGACAGGCTATAGTGTATGTATAATTTCAATCCCCATACGTCAAGATCTTATTCACCAACAGTTGACAACTTGTATGCAAACTTCCTGGGATCCAATTTGTATAACAATTATTTTATTTATTTCCATTATTTAGACACATAATGATTATTAATTAGTTTTTTTTTTTTGGGGGGGGATATTTATTGGGTTTGATTATTGAAGAATGGATGCTTTGCATGGATCCATGGCACAGAACTTTCAATACCATAATTTATAGATTTGAAATTATAATTTGATAAAAAAAACATAATGTATTATAATACCATAATTTCTAAATTTAATATTATAATTTGATAAAAAAAAACATGTATATGATATAGAATTTATAATACCCCTAATTTCTAAATTTAATGTTATAATTTGATAAAAACATGTTCGTTGTAGATATTGAATTTGTAAGAATCCCTTAAACACGGATTATGAAAGTTATTCAAGTAGACGAAATTATTTTTTTTTTAAAAAGATACAATAATGTGAATAAAACAGTAGAATTGAATGTAATTTATAAGAAAAAAGACGATAAAATATCTTGTAACAAGGAAACTAAGATAAATAAAATCTTATCAGCATGAAAACACCAATATCACAAATAGAATTATTATTATTATTATTAAGAAAAGAATAATTACATATTAGTTTTTTTCTAATAAACTCATATCATTTACCAAATTATTGGAGGCACGTCAATTCCAGTGGTATTAACGTAAATTTGTCTATGAATATCAATATTAGAGGATATCTCTCTCTCTATATATATATCCATCCTTCTCAGTATGAATATAAATTCAAATCTAACAATCCAAATATATATATATATATATATGTGTTGTGCGAGTGAATAATGGCATAGTCATGTAGTCATCCGGCATAGTTATATATGGATATTTAATCGATTAATTTATCTAAACCCTAATTATAATTACAGTCAATTTCTCTGAATTTGCATTCAAAATTTACAGAAAGGAAACAATGCCAACTGTGAAGACCACGTGAGACTTTGGCTCTCCATCCAACATTATGTTTACTTGCATGAGACTGCATGTGCATGTGGCGTGCAACATAGTGGTATATTCTGTAACCCGATTATATATATATATATATATATATATATTATTTTTTCATCATCATCATCATTATTATTATTCGTCTGCATTTTTTAATTTGTAAGTTATCATGATAATATACAGTGTGTGTTGAATAAGTCTATTTTTTTGCCATCATACATACGTGTTTCACATACGAAGAAATCAGAACCCAAAGATCAAAAGCAACACTGACACGACAATGATACTAGGGTTTGGTCGCGACATTATAATATATATATATATATATATATATATATATATATATTTCATAGTTATGTGATTAAATATTTTTTTGAATTAAGTAATCGAGTTTGTTATCTATTAGATTAGAAAAATGCGAACGATAACGAAGTTACATATATCGGATACTTGTCGGTACGTGCTCTCAGATCACATGCTGAATCATGGACTTGACTTAATTTGTCAACTTACAAAATAACTAAAAGGAAAATATTGTGTGGCAGAGAAAATATTATTACGTATCTTGCAATTATATTTTATATTAGTCCTTTTAATATATTTTTTTGAAACCGGAAAAATTATGATATTCTAGTAATGGTGTAATATTACACATTAATTGTTTATAATAATGTTTTTTAAAATTATAATTATTAATTAGACGCAAATAGATGACATCTAACGGTCATCCTCAACCGGTAGCCGGTCCATTCTGTCCAGCTATATTTGTCTTCCATATATACACACACACACATATACTAAGGTTCGAAAAAATGCGATTTGTATTATTATCATATACAAGCATTGCGTGCATATAAAATTAGTTTATTTTCCGACCTTACTCTTTCTTTAAATATTATTTTATAATTTACTATTATTAGTTAACAGTTAACATATAAGCTTGTCTGAAGACAGCATTGTACACTTTTGATTTTAATATAACGAGTTTATATTAACGGAAATAATAACTTTATAATTACAGATCTTTTACTATGACTAGCTTCGATTATAAATCGATATATATAATTCTTTGATCGATTGACCTTTTGTATTAATAAAATTTTAGTCGGGCAAAAAAAGAAAAGCATATTCCAAACTTGGTGCGCAATAAATTAAATCCCATATTATTTAACGAAATCGAATATCAATTAGGGAAAAAGGAGAGAGCACCGCTTTAAAAAACGTACCACCGCTTCGATTTCTATCCATTTCCATGTGTCGAGAATCCTATATACACTGAAATTAATATATCGATCAACATTACTTCTCCATAATATTATATTAATCAAATATATTTTTATATTAAGTTTACAATTTTCTCAACTTTTTTAAAAATTTGATTTATAAATATTAACAGCAATTATAGTGTGTGTGTATATATATATAGCGTAAAAAGCTGTATTAATTTAGTTTTCGTATTATCAAAGCCATTTCTTTTACACATATTTTTACCGACTATATACATATTTTAAACGACAAATCTTATGTATTTTAAAATATATTTTTTGTAGACAAATCTTTAATTGGTTCATTCATTTATTATTTTCGTTTTAAATGTTTCTTTTTATATATTCTATGTCAGGTTTGTTAACTTATGAATTTAAGTTAATATTTATCTCTAATTTTTAGATTCTATTAGCTTCGACATGTTAACTTATCAAACGCCAGACTCAAAAAAATAAATAAAGAAAAAAATTAAGTATAACGGTATAAATGCAAACAAATATAATATATATCCATATATATCAAATAAAAAAAGAATCATAAAAAGAAAATCTACAAAAAGGATACGTAAATAGAGAAGAGAATCTATATAGAAAAGCAAAAATAAGGAAGAAAATAAATAAAACAATATCTACAGACAAACATAGATGTATATAATGTAAAATGGAAATAAACATAATATATACGAAATATCTTAAAAAAGCGAAAACAAGGAAGGAAATAAGTAAACAATATTAAATATAAATAAATATAATATATAAATATAAGAGCAAAGATAATATTGAAAGAAGAAATTCTTAATAAAAAAAACATGCAAACACGGAAGAAAATAAATAAAACAACATAAAAAGCAAACAAACACTGACAATAAATAATTGCGCCAGGGAATTGACAATCAAGTCGAGTTTTAATTAATATGAATAGAAAAAATGTTAGAGGAATTACAGAAATATATACGTCAACTTGCCAAAAAGTCTCAATTGTCTTCCTAAAGCTTATGTATTTCAAAATTAATTTTTCAAAATAAATGATTTGATAAATTACAAATATTGTTAAGAGAGATTAATAGAACTTAAAAGAACGTGAAATTGAAAGATAAATATATATAAAAAGGAAGAAAAATATGAGAGGAGAAAAACCAAATATGAGAAAACAAAGAAAAAATTAGAATATTTTTTAGGAAATTTAGATTAATATTTGTAAAGATTGAAAAATAAATATTTATATTCGTTTACAACGTATTTTTTTACCAAAAAAAATGTTGCAAACGAATAAAACAACTTAGCAAAGCTCAGTTTTGGTATATGAGCGAATTATATATATATATATATAATAAGCAAACTGTCAAATTTACCTCAAAATGGGAGACATTTTCTTAGAAGTACAGCCGGAAACCATAAACTTTTGCATAATATTATTTGGTAGTTGAAAAATTTTCTTTTGTCGATCGAACAGAAAAAAAAAATGTAACTCCACTAAAAAAAATATATTCACATTTTTTTTATTAAAATAAAAAATGGTTTAATATTAGAAAAAGGCTTTATATAAGGCATTTATCTCTCTCTCAATTCCCACACACTCTCTTCATTTCTTTCACTGTTTTTTTTTTTTAATTTGATTTCTCTCTCTCTTATTCCCTTCGAACATCTTCTCCTTCTCCACCCTCCATTCCTCCTCTGTTACCAAACCCACCATCACCATAGCTTCGACCAACAAAAAAGGAACAAAAAAAACTCCGTTCTTCGATTAAGTTTCCGACAAACTGGGCTGCGGCAGAAGACAAAAAAGATTTATGTGAAAAAAAAGGGAACCCTGTCTTTATTTTTTTGGGGTAATATTGTGTCGAATCGCAAAAAGGGCCATTCTGTTTCCCTTTTGTTGGTTTTTGGCTTAGGGTTCTGCAGAAACCACGAGCCGTATACATTGCTGCAACAAAAAGTCTGTCACTCGCATTTCCTCTTGCGTGTTTCCCAAGAAAAGCCCTGACCATATATTCCTAAGCTCTGTTCCCAAGGACGACCCATTACCAATCTAAGGCTGTTCCTGTTCCGCCGGGATAAAATCCGATAACTCGGCCGAGATGGATCGGATTTATTCCGCGTCGGTGATTCCCGACTCGTTCGTAGGGTACAGAGACGGCCTTACGATGCAGGTTTCGATGGTTTGGGATCAGATGAGAGCTCCATTGATCGTTCCGTTGCTGAGACTTGCGGTTTATGTGTGTCTGGTAATGTCTGTGATGCTCTTCGTGGAGAGGGTTTATATGGGAATCGTCATTTCGCTGGTGAAGCTCTTTGGCCGTAAGCCTGAGAAACGTTACAAATGGGAGCCGATGAAGGACGACATCGAGCTCGGAAACTCGGCTTATCCTATGGTTCTTGTCCAAATCCCCATGTACAATGAACGCGAGGTGAACACAGAAAAGAAATTGTTCTGTCGTTACTCTGTTTTCGAGTTTTTGGTAGCTTAAAGCTTGATGATCTTATGTGTTGGTCAATGCAGGTTTATCAGCTTTCAATCGGTGCTGCTTGCGGGCTCTCATGGCCTTCCGATCGGATCATCATTCAAGTTCTCGACGATTCCACTGATCCGACAATCAAAGTAAGCCCCTGTTTTTTTTTTCACTTTTGTTATTGAATCCGAAGATCTCGAGTTCAAACACCAATTGGGATCTCGTCAATACTCGATTCCGCGGGCTCCAGAGATTTGGAATTTTACAAAAATGGGTTTTAACTAAATTGAATCGAGTGGCACAGGACGGGTTCTCCCTGAAACCCGGACAAATCCCCCCCAACTAAATCTGCGACATGGGTTTTACCAAAAATCAAAATTTACGAGACGGGTTTCTCCAAAAATTCAAACTTTCGAGATGGGTTTAACCAAAAACGCAATTTTTTCCGAGATGGATGTCTCAAAAAATCAAAACTTTCGAGATGGGTTTTACCAGAAACCAGATTTTGCGAGATGGGTTTCTCCTAAAACCCGGTTGTAACATCCGAGAACCTCGAATTTTCTGGGGTCTTAAAAAAACGAAATTGCAGGATCTAGTGGAATTGGAGTGTCACAGATGGGCAAGCAAAGGAGTGAACATAAAGTACGAGATAAGGGACAACAGGAGCGGCTACAAAGCAGGAGCTCTGAAAGAAGGAATGAAGAAAAGCTACGTTAAGAGCTGCGACTACGTTGCCATCTTCGACGCAGATTTCCAGCCGGAACCCGATTTCCTCTGGCGGACCATCCCTTTCCTCGTCCACAATCCCCGTCTCGCCCTCGTTCAGGCTCGCTGGAAGTTCGGTAATTTCCCTAATCTCGTAACATGCTCATTTGGTTTATTCTTGCTCTTTTCCATTCATGATTGATACTTTTCTGTGCTAATCACTGCATGATTATAGTTAACACGAGTTTAATCCTAGTTTTTCCTCAACTACCCTTTTGCTAAGATACCCTCTCTCTCTCTCTCTCTCCCCCCTCACAGTCTGTTCTTTTTGTCGGCAAGTTAAGAATTATTGCATTATTAAGCATTTTTCAAACGTAATTTTGTTTTTACTTTTTTTTTTTGGGTACTTTTGATGATTTTGTTTGGAAAAATTATTTTTATTTTCTAATATGGTGATTTTTTACGTAAATAAAGAGGAAGTTACTCCTCTTAAGTTCTCGTTTTTCTATCTTTTTACTTGTGATAATATCATTTTAAATAAATTGAAATTTAGACTCGAGAAAAACATATGCCTAAGTAGTTTACAAGGACTGTCGGTGGGTTTTATGTGGTAAGATTGGGTCGGGCCCACCTCCCTTTTTTTTTCTTTTCTTTCAAGCTATCTTTGTGTTTGTTTGCTTTTAAACGTGGAACTACTTTTGTTAATTTAAATATTTATAACGATAGAAAATATGTGAAAATACATACAAGTCTAAAACATAATCACAATTTTTTAATACAATCACACAAAAGTAATTCCAACTAACCCAAAATATTTTATACAAACCTTTTACGAGAATTTATATAAAAAAAAATGCTGAAAAAATGAAATGGAAACACAACCAATGCTGAAAAGACTTTGATCCATAAGTTGTCTTTTTTTGTCGTTTTTTGTCATCTATGTTTTGTCTTTAAACTCCAATAGCCGTGAGAGTTAATGGCAAGTTTATACTTAAGACTTAGGATTCGACATTTAGGTTTGATTATTTCAATTAAACATAGTTTAAAATTGATTAAATATATATTTTTTAGAAAATATTTAATTAACTATGAATTAAGTATAAAAGTTATCTGAAATTTGAAAAAAAAATAAAAAAACATAAATAAATACTAATACTAATACAAAACTAAACGGATAATAGATAGAAATTTTATTAAATTTTAAAATCTGCATCAGAAAATATTCTAAACACAACTATAAATAAAAATCTCTACTTACAAGTAATAAAACAGGATAATTTTGGTCATATCATGTAATTATTACTTTATTATTTTCTAGAAAAATAGCGCAATTTTTTTGAACTTTGACATTCAGTGAACATAACTTATGCCAGAAAAAGCTGCCACATAATAATAATAATAATAATAATCAGTGGGCTATTCACTGTTAAATTCACCTTTGGGACCCTACAACACAAATTTATTCGTATAATATAAAAACTACCCTTCATATAATTTAATAATAATATATTATGATATATTTCAAGGGGGTAGGGGAATTATTATTATTATGATTGTCGATGTGCATCTCTGGCAAATGTCGCAGCGTCCAGTGATAAATGCAGAGAACATATCGGGAAGAGAAGGGGTATGTTTGTCTTTTAGGAATAATAGATAGGGGTAAATTTGTCTTTTTGCACCGAACTGTTCCACGTGTCCTCCTCCAGCATATGCATGTGCAAATCTTTTATGGTGGACCTCCTCCTCCTCGTGCCTCGCCTCTATGGTCACTTGTCACTCTCCACCACTCACTTTTTTTTTGGAGTTTATTTATTTTTTAAAAATTTTAGAAACCATTTTTTTTATTATTTAGTTTGGACCAATAATGGGCACATTTTTTTAATTGATTGTGTGGGAAAAACTACAAAATAAGAGATTTTCTTTCTTTCTTTAAGCTATATATTAAATTTTTTAATATTTATTGTGATAATTGATACTGGCTAGTTTGCATATTTAATACCCAATTGATTTAAATTTTATTTTAAATGCTGCAGTGAATGCGGACGAATGTCTGATGACAAGAATGCAAGAAATGTCGTTGGATTACCATTTCACAGTCGAACAAGAAGTTGGATCCTCCACTTACGCATTCTTCGGATTCAACGGTAATAATATATTTGCATGGACCCATTTCATTTTTATTCGGTAAATTCGTGAAAAATCTCCTCTTTTTGCATCGAGTATTTTATCCTTACGGGGTTGAAGTTAACAACTGGAAACATTTGGGGCAAATGTGGGAAAACATGAAAATACAGGGACTGCAGGGGTATGGAGAATATCGGCATTGAACGAAGCAGGAGGATGGAAGGACAGAACAACAGTGGAAGACATGGACTTGGCTGTTCGGGCAAGTCTCAAGGGTTGGAAGTTCTTGTACCTTGGCTCTTTGAAGGTATCATTCACAGACTCATATATATAATATATATATATATATTTCTTAATTTGGTATATGAAGATTATTCATGAATATTATATATATATGTGTGTGTGTGTGTGTGTGTATAGGTTAAAAATGAGTTGCCAAGTACATTGAAGGCGTATAGGTACCAGCAGCACAGGTGGTCTTGTGGTCCAGCCAATCTCTTCATGAAAATGATATTGGAAATTATTACCAACAAGGTATTAATTAAAACCAAGACTCTAAACCGGACGGGTAGAACCCGGTTATCGGTTTCCGGTTAACAAGTGATTCATCTTCCTTGGTTTTGTGTGTGCGCAGAATGTGAGCCTGTGGAAGAAATGCCACGTGATATACAGTTTCTTCGTGGTTAGGAAAATAGTGGCACACATAGTAACGTTTGTGTTCTACTGCGTTGTGTTGCCCGCGACTGTGATGGTGCCTGAAGTCACTGTCCCAAAATGGGGAGCCGTTTACATTCCTTCCATCATCACTCTCCTCAATGCCGTCGGTACCCCCAGGTACCCCCGATTTTCCGTTTCTTGATGAAAACTTGAACCGTAGGTTATGTTAGAGCAAACTGAATGTGATGAAGGATGCTTTTTTTTTCTTGTGGGGGGTGAGACAGGTCGCTGCATCTGATGGTGTTCTGGATTCTGTTCGAGAACGTCATGTCTCTGCATAGAACGAAGGCTACGTTCATTGGACTGATTGGCGCTGGGAGAGTTAACGAATGGATCGTAACCGAGAAACTCGGAGACGCCATTAAAGCCAAATCAGCCTCCAAGGCACCAAGGAAGCCTCGTTTCAGATTCGGAGAGAGGTAATGGATCTTGAGATCAAAATGGCAAGTGAAGAGAGATATATTGAGAAAGTGTGAAAATGGATGCAGGATGCATGTGCTGGAGCTTGGAGTGGGAATGTATCTCTTGTTGGTGGGAGTATACGACTTGTCGTTTGGGAAGAATCACTACTATCTCTACTTGTTCGCTCAAGCCTTTGCTTTCTTCGTCATGGGCTTTGGTCAAGTTGGTACCTTTGTCCCTCACGCCTAAGTTTTTTTTCTTCTTTCGCCCAAAAAAAAAAGGAGGAGGAGGAGGAGGCGTTTTCGAGCTTGGGATGCTCGGGAAATAAGATAGTTTCGTTTTGCTCTTGTTTTGTTTTTTTATTATAAATTTTTATTGTTTGGTGTGAATAGAAGGGAAAGATTGATATGCTACACCATGAGGGAAGAAGGTATATGTGTAATGTGGAAGTGAGAGGAAAGAAGAAGGAATTTTGAGTGAAAACCCTCTTTGTGAGTTGGAGAATTTTTCCAAAAACAAAAAACAAGAAAGAAGTGCAGGCTGTGGGGTTCGAACCCACGCGCACTTATGTGCAGAAGATCTTAAGTCTTCCCCCTTAACCTCTCGGGCAAACCTGCTTCCCTGTTCCCTTCACTTGTTCTAATATTATTTATCATAGCATGCTATTGGTTCTTAACCATCAAAAAACGGTGAGAGACCTAAAGAACAGAAAAAAGGAAAGTAGTAACATACTATCCAGATTTTCAGTGGCCGACACGTACGGAAAAAGTCATTAAAAGGGTTTTGATAGTATGTAACATCAAGCAGGAGGCGCGTGTTTGGCCTTCGTATGAGACTGAAGCCCCACTTCCGACGTAAAAGACCTCTTGCATGAACTGCACTGATGATTCGCCGTCTTCTGTTTCTGTTTCGCCGGATGCGGCGTCGCTTCGTGCACGTACCCTTTCTTCCCCCCCTCCTCTGCGTTTTCGCATTCATTCATTTCTTAAACTTAGTAATGAGAATTAACAGAACACATTCTAATTTCACCTGTTTTCTGAGGAGTAGCAAATTTCGCCTTCTTCTCGGAATACGCTGGAGCTGGAGTTTTCGGCACATCTGCGGGTCTCTTCTTACTTTGTTGCTCAGTCTTCCACCAAACAAAACCAAGTGTAAACTAGATTTAGGTATGGCATATAAGATGCAACTCCCCCATTCATACATATATACACATATACATGTACCTTCTTCGGGGTCTCATCAGCTGAAGTTTCATCACCATCACTATCTTCATCGCCGTCACCTCCAGCAATAGCTTTCTTGTCCTGAATACATATAATAAAGACCACATAGTTATCTGAGGGTTCAAGTGGAAACTAAACACCCATCTGCCATTACAATGCAAACATCGGAAAAAAAGTAGCAGCAACTCAGTCTCCTCAGACAACCAGAACCACCAAACACCAATCAGCTTCACTCGGAATTCATGAAAATCAGTAGTCTACTTGAAAACAAAGGCTGAGTTTACCACACCGATATGAAATTTAGTTCCACAAATTAACTGAAAGAGTTGGGCACAGAGCACCTCATCATCACTTGAATCTTCAGAAGATGACATATCATCGTCTGAGTCTTCATCACTATCATCATCATCCTGCATGGCATTGTCCTCTTCATTTGGCACCTTGAAATTCACCTGTTTGGTTCCTGACTTCGCAGGATCAGTCTTCTTCACTTCCGGTTTCACTTCCACAGCGTCTGGCTTAGGTTTTTCTGCATGATCACAATCACAGCTAAACCATTGATGTCCTAAGCGATACGAAAGAGTAAAGTGTCGTGTCCTCACCTTTTTCACTTACGACCGGAAGCTCATCATCACTACCTTCTTCCTCCTCGGTGAGATCAAGAAAAAGTTAAGGAGCTCAAAACAGAGGAAAACGAAGATTCAAGCTGGAAGGAGAACCACAATGCAATGTTGGGTGTATCTAAAATCAATGAGACCAGACAGTGAAGGATATTCATCCTCACGTGCATCGACTTTATACCCTGTGAAGTAAACACTCCCATGCTTCCAACTATGAGAGAGCTCGAAACCCTTTTCTAGCAAAATCTCCGAAGAAAGCTGAGGGCATTTCCCCTGAAACAGGGTTCCGATGGTATACTTTACATCGTCGACAACCAAGTAAAGGTAGATTGGCTCATCTCCTTTGTTCTTACTCTCACCAAGTGCAGCCTGCAGTAAAGGGAAGGATAGAAATGGAACCTCAAACGCAGAATCTACAGTTTGATTCACATCCAAATTTGATGAAAGTTATACCTGAGAAATGTGCACAATCATGTCCGATCCAGGTTCCACGCTAACGCATGCGCCAGGTTTACATTCAACTCCTGGATATGCAAAACATTACAGGCAGAAAATATCACCAATTAAGCCACTGAGGCAAATATGGCACATGAAACCTCAACAGATCCATCGCTTCTCAGTTCAATCAACAAAATGTGGGCGGCGGAAAAAAATAAGTCTCATGAACATGGACTATGAACACCAGTCATAAACATTTTCCGGGAAACCACACATGATCGATATACTGTAACATGGACAAACCTGCCGGCTACGTTTCACGACCTACCAAAAACATTCACAGACCGATGATTCTCAGAAGAAACCTATGTCTTCAATGAACAAAAACTCAGGTCTCATACCATCGATTCTCGGGAAACAAACAGGAAAAGAGAATGGAAAGCGAAACGACTTGTGAAACCCTAGGCAGAAATCGAAGAAGAAAGAGAGTGATGCTTACCCCAGAACTCCATTTTTAAGACTGCTAGTGACCTTCAAGCTACGCGAGGGAAGTTTCTGGAAGAAGTCGAGTTTTCTCCTCAATCGCTAACAGAGATGAACTTTTAGGGCGTGAAAAAGGGAGCGTATATAACGGATTGATTGGTGAGATGTCATTCTCTGGTACGCGGAGTAGCGGATGATTCCGTGCTCCATCACTGACGATATCTTATTGGGCCGGGCTTTTTAAATGGCCCAATATGAATAAAGATATATTTACTATTTGATCGCCTAAAAGAATTAGTGTTTTGTGGGCCGAGCCCAAAATCTAGAGATCGAAGGAACACCAACGCAAAATACAAAAGAGTTTCTCTATAAGTTGATTGCAAAGAAGTCCTTCGAATCTTAGAGTCTCTTAAACTATAATTTTGGTTCGTTATTTTCGTATTTGATTTTTTTTAGTTTCGAATTTCGTAGTTTTTTCCAAATAAAATGTAACAAAAGAAAACTAGATCTTCGAAATTCCGAATGTATCACACGTATATATTATACTACGTCATATATCCGATGTGTCATGAACATGAAAAATGGTGGTTTGTGAAAGGCTGAAAATTGGATTCTGTTAACGGTGTCAGACGGAATCTTAACGGAGCTTCGGCTCGATCCTCCAGCCGACACGTGACGGAGTCTTCTGTTTGCCGTTCGGTCACGCGTTTCATTTCATCCACTTGCCTGCAGATCTTTTTCTGCACAGACGAAATTGCCCTTCAACTTTTAATAACTCAGTCGGAGTGGGACCTCCAAAACCTAAATATAGTGACGATAATACCCCTGGTGAAACTGGAGATGCTTTCCGTGAAAAGAAAAAGTAGGATGTCATTCATCGACCGGGCTTTTACAAGTTTACTGACATTGCATAGTACGGTCATGCTAAATGGTACAGAAGTATGCTACAGACAGGATATATGACTAATAAAATATGGATATGAAAATGGTATTTGAAAATTAAGATATGATTATCAGAAAAAACATGGGGATAGCTAATTTTGATAACCAGTGATGTGATACGCTAATCATGGCTTATTTTTGTTTTTGTTTTCCCCCTGCAATCAACTCCAAATGATTTGCTCAGAAGGTCAACACGAATAAAAAGTTAAAAGGTGTGAAATCCAAGCTTAGCTATCTACTAATATAAGATAACGTTATACATAATGTAATACTGTATATTACCATATATCAATTCTACCCCCAAATAAACTACACATTTGTAACTCGTTCATGACTTGGTCATCAACGACGCCTTATTCCTTTGCTATTTGGGGTTTTTTTTGTACGAAGATAATTTTATTGTAATCCTTCTTTACAAGCGAGAACACCCAATCCGAATTTACATTAAATTTTATCGAATTAGATAGTATGGAAAGGGCTTATATACTTAGAATTTCTATATTTTCTAACTTTTAGTAATAAAAAATTTATAACTACTTCTGCACACAAATTAATACTTAAGTCCTCTTTTTTTATATATCTTCTCAAGCTTTATATTATTATGAATATTCATTACCCATTCCACAACCCTTTGCTTTAGGTGATTCTCGTTTAAAGGAATGTGATCTCTCCATTCATAACACCATCATCAATAATTATTAGACAAAACATAAATTTCGAGATTCCCTACCGCCAATTATTATATATGTGAGTGTGTGTGTGTGTTGTAAGTTTTTTTTTCAAGAAACGATAAAAGTACTAATAATTTTTGTTTGTACTCACCGGGAAAAAGCGAGTCGCACTTTGATGGATTTTTGCTTTGTCAAATTACGCATTTGTCCACACTCCAAAGACTGAAGCTACTTGGCTTCACCATTCTTCACCTCACTATCCTTTTCTATGGAATTGTCTCCCCTACTCTTCTCCTCTCTGGTAATCTTTTTCTCAATTCTCCCATGTCTTTTACTATTTCATCAATAATCAAATCTGCTCCTTCCTTTTATTCTATTATATGCTTTCTCCTAAGAGCTTGAAGGCTATCTCTTTCAGATGAAAGAAATGGCTTCTGACAAGAAATGAAAAGAAATTAAGGTTCACCTACCATGAAATAATATTTTTTTAATGTATATGCAAAGAATAATCATCCTAAGAGAAAGAAGACTCACCTTGTTTCAAGGAACAATATTTGCATCAACAAGACAAGATAACTTTCGTCATTGTTCTTTGACAGGAAACTGGGTACCCTTCTCTGGCTTCTTGATCTGTCTTTCCTTTTTGTTTTCACAGGTGGTTGGTTTGCTTTTAGCTTGAAATTTGAATGCTCTGTAATGGTTTTGCCATAAAAAGGTGGTTTCTGGGTTTAACCAAAGGAAAAGGAAATGGAAGGAGAGAGAGAGAAAGAAATTAGGGTTCATACGATACCTCAAACATTCTTCATGCCTGATCCATCACAACCAAATTCCATCTCCCAAAGCATGCAAGAAAATCATCAGCTAGAACAATCAAGCAGGTACCCTTACTGACTGTGTCTGTCTTCTTCTGTTTTTTTTTTTTTTTTTTTGCTCCACATCCTTAGATAAGACTATAGTTTCATGAAACTCCACACAACAGGAAATAAAAGGCAGGGGGCTAGAACAATCAAACTTGTCTACTGGAGTTAGCAGTTCACTGTTACTTTTTTTTTTTTTTTTTTTTTTTTTTTGCTCCACATCCTTAGATAAGACTATAGTTTCATGAAACTCCACACAACAGGAAATAAAAGGCAGGGGGCTAGAACAATCAAACTTGTCTACTGGAGTTAGCAGTTCACTGTTACCTGAACAAATGTGAAAAACGGAACACGTGGCAGCGTATGATTGAATCTGCATTTAGGACCAAGTTCTAAGTAACGTGTATGCTTTTTTGGACCAACAACAAACAAATGCTCACCAGTAGATGTGATTGGTATTGATTTATGCAGAGGAATCTGTATTAGAAACTTACCTGCACTGGGAGCTATGCCTTTTACACATCTGTTGGCACTGGCGAATGCAGCCTCCACCAGTTCAATTGATATGAACTCAGCATATTTGGCGAAATCTCTCGTTGATAGTTGCAGGACTGAATCCAGCTCGGGGACTTTGAACCCCGGATCCTCACTTGGGCTGCATGCAGGCAGTGCTGGCACTGAAAAATCACAATGTGAGCAAAACTTGTGTCCACATTTCTATTCTTTCAAGGTTTTAACAATCTTGCATTGCAGAATTTTTGGAGTAAGAAAGCTGGTTTATGGATTTACATACAATGTAGACGCGACAAAAGAGAGAAATGTAGGTATATGCACATGCATTAGGGGAGAAGATTAGACCCAGAGAAGCTGATGAAAAATTGAAAGTTGACATAAGTTGAAGTTAGGAACCTCTTTTTTGTTTGTCATTAATTAGATGTTAATTTTCAGCAGTTTTTTTATATATATTCTCTAGCATATTGAAGATTTGAAACTGATACTGCACGGAACGTACAATCCACAAAAGAATATTCTGAATTTAGTTGTCAAATTGGATGACTCACCTGATATATTTACACTGTGAACCACAGATGAGGTTTCAACTTCACAACAGCATTTCTACGATCTTAATCTTCTACCCGAAGAGATCTACAACACAGTTCCTCAAACTGAAGCTGAGTTTGCTCCAATAACTCCGGGGAAACCCGACAAAAAACTGCCTGAAATACCAGCTCCATTCTCTGTAGCAGAAACAGATCAAATGCTTCAAGAGCCTGCCAAAGATTCTTTTAATGCTGGATCTGCTGCAACAGAAAAGAAACAAAAGAGAGAAAGTCATGGTTCATGTTTTGCAGCTGCAGGGAAAACAAATCAAGAATCTGTGAAAGATTCTTTCCCTGATGCTGTTTCTGCTGCAACAGAGCAGAGTCATAAGAAATCAAAGAGAGACAGAGGCGATGTTCTGCAAATTAAAACACCACAGCAAAAACCGAGAAGAAAAAAGCACAGGCCTAAAGTCATTATCGAAGGCAAATTAAAACGATCATATA